CACTTTTGAATTTAACTGTTAATATTGATATCCTCAAAACAACATTAACTTAAATCCACCGACATCTATTACACCTTGTGAGAATGCATGCTACGAGGGTCGCCCTACAAACTCGCATTTTGTAAGAGAAGGGCTTTTCTAAGGCCCATTAATTTCCATAAGTCAAAACCAAATTCATGACGAACGAAATTAATAGTCGGTCTCCATTTGGCCATGCAATAGAATTCAGGGACCCCGAGGGGGGTTAATAAATTTAATCGCATTCTAAGTGAATCCCATTTCTCGGTCCTAAGGTCGTCAAATTTGATTATACGTCATCCGAGGGGAAGCCCGTACGCTCTCATAAGATTTCCTCTAACCGTCTACTTTTAGAAATTTGTCCTGGTAATTTCCTACAATTAATTTTAGCAATGTCACCCGAGGGGGAGCCCATTACCGCAATTAATTGATTTACCGACAAATTAGAAATGGAGGCCTTAGGAATTTTACAATTAACTTTAATTTAAAATCCCTTCTCAAACTTAGTATAATTTAATGAGGATTTTTAACTATTTATACAATTCCAAATTAATCTATGTTAATGCAATAATTAATTAACATGCATATTAATTCATGCAATTCTAAATTAATCTATGTCAATGCAATAATTAATTAACATGTACAATAATTTATGCAATTCTAAATTAATCCATGCCAGAACATAATTAATTACATGCATAATTTATTGACACAATTCTAAATTAATCCTATGCATTACATAATTAATTAACATGCATAATTAATCTTGCAATACTAAATTAATTCCATGCAAAAACATAATTAATTAACATGCATAAATAATAATTTAATGGCATAATAAATTTAATTAATTAAATACATAAGTCCACTATTATGGCCATTAAATATTGAGTCTCCTTAAACAAGGAAACTGTGACAGTTCTTTTCCCTGTTCAACTGGAACTCCTTTAAGCAGTAGAATCCTGGTTGATCTTGTACTGCTTGATCATCAAGGCAAAAACGAACCACCAGCTGCCGCCACCAATCCGCCGCCGCCGGCCACCGGTCGCTGCCTGCCGGTTTGCCGGAAAAAGCCAATTTTTTTTTTGTCGAGGCTCGTTGATCTCTTGTGATCTCCCGGTTATCAACACACGATCACAACACGAAAAATATAATTTACAAAATTACATAATTCGATCCTAGATCCAACGAATGGATGCACATGTTTTCTAAACAAATAATTAAATCTATCCGGTCAACCCCCGGACGAATAATTATTACAAACATTCATCCATAAATTCCTCGACATGCCCGAGGCTTTAAAAACAAATTTAAAACTATACATCACATTCAACAACATTCATCAAACACATAATCGGCCATAATAGTGGATTAACTATTTTCCTGCAAAACCGAGTTATGCATATATAATCCAATATATGGCTGCGTTTGAACACATCTTGTCAAATAAAGCCGTAAAAATTCGAACTTTGTACAAAACGAATTAACCAAGTTCTCTGATACCACTTGTTGGGATCTGTGAGGATCTCGTTATGTACAAATCACGAATTCAATAGCAAACGTAAACCTATGCGCAGCGGATCTAAAGGTTTGACGTAGAGAACTTACGGCTTAAAATTTATGTAGATCTGGCTGACCACGAATGGTTGACCGCAATTGATTGACTGCAAATCACGTCTTGGGTTGCACGAACAAGATCAGATCAAAACCGGATCAAACAGATGCAAACAGATCAAAACGAGATTTTGCTGCCAGGCACCTTCCGGCGGCGCGTGAGGGTGCGTGCGGTGTCGGATTTCGGCGACGTCGGCGGCGATGGAAAGCTCTCGTCGAGACGGTCGTCTGGGTATACTGTACGTCTCAATCGGACTTCCGGTTAGTTCTGTAGGTCAAAATATATTTCGTCTCGGTTTACCTACAGATCTTCTACTATATTACTCAATACACCCTTCTTCAACTTGTACCAGTGGAGCAACAAGAAGAAGATAAAGCTCGAATGAGATCTAGAGAGAGAGAGGCGTGTTTCACGTGAGATGTGAACTCTTTTTATTTCTCATGAGCTTAATAATGTATATATAGAGCTATAGTAGGGATCCTAAGGAGATTAGGAAAAGGGCTCCTTAATTAATTAGACTAACTGTGGGCCAAACCCACTCCTCTAATTAATTAAATAATATTAATGGGCCACCAACATTATATTATTGCACTCCCTTTCCCTAGCCCAAATTACATTTGAGACTCCAATAATAATTACTCGATTTACCTCCCCACGTTTAAGATATAATGTCCATTAATTAATTCGATTACTGACAATCAAGAATTAATTAATTTATTATTATTTCACCGAAGCTAGCGCTCGTTCATCACATTCTTATTATGCCGGAATTTAATCCACCTGCAGGGTTTAGCATAACAATCCTTCATGAACTCACTCCGGGGACATCATCAAACTAACGCACATGGTGACCGTAAATATCCTAACAGCACATCCTATATATAATAATATTACCCAAAACAGTAGGAATATTAATCCAGCGAACTGAACCTCACCCATGTGAATCAAAGTAATATATATTATATATATTTGCCTGTTTAATATCTTACGGGTTAAGAGAACGCAGTAATTAACCGAGGCCTAGTTCATTTACGACGATCAGTATAAAATGAACTTCTCCTCTCTGGGATCCTGTTCAATACATAAATGTATTAGTGCAACTAATCAGTCAAGACAAACTGTACAGTTGACACTACAACCGTTCGGATGGAGTGTTCATGTCCATCTAGGTTGGGAACAACTATTCTTATTCGCAAGTAACTGATAGAGTGATCTTCGGTTCGCCCGATGACGACTCACTCCATCTAAGTGCAGAACAACAGAACGTAGAACTTGTTTAATCTAACATGATTCTCATTCATAAAGGGTAAATGTGTAATATCATGCAAAACCAAGCTTTCAGTATATAACACTAACAGCCATATCTAGCATCTGACTTGGAAGGGATGTGTGAACTCAAATAAGTCCTTCCCTCAGATGAGTTCAAATAGATCATGTACTCGTTAACGGACTCAACGACATCAACTATGGAGAGCGAGTATTACAGTGTCCTTGAGATAGCGAAGATCGTCGCGTGAACTCCAGAACATCGGGTAGGTACTCTCAATAATAGTAGCAATAGAATCCCATTGTGATTATAGAATAATATCATCGGGACTGTCTATATTGGCACAATCGTCGTTCAATCCACCGACTGTAGCTGCCAATGCTTGTATGCCACTCCGAGAAGCGCCTCAACTCATCGTACTCATCACCCCCACCAAGGCTTTGAAGCCTCATATTCCGAGTTATTCTCAGAACGACACAGTCGTGCCATATATAATGGGCAGATGTTTAGGTATTAATTTCATTAAAATAAGATATCTGCATTAATTTTTCTTTTTTTTTAGATGATCACACAAATATATAATTTTAGATTCCATTATATTATGCAACCATTAAATGTAAAAGTAAAAAAAAAAATTCATTTTGTTTATTATTAAAAATCAGTCAAATCATATATACGGGCTGATGTATAGAAGTTAATTGAGCATGATTTGTGTTTCAACTAAGGGTACAAATATCAACATTCTATTATAAATATATGTTGATAGAATCATCATATTTTTTAGTACTAATATTCATTAAAATATGAAATTATTTTTTTTCAATAAATTCAACTAATAATTTACAATTTTGCAAGAATAATTTGAAGGAGTTGGTGCAAGAATAATTCAGTTTGTATCTATATTATTATTTTTTTTAATGCATCCTCACATACCACAAAATTAGGCAAAAACATGTGGTTGATTGTTGGATAAGATTAAAAGATAAAAAAAAATAAATAAAAGGTGATGTAACGATTTTTTGAGGAAAACAAAAAATATTATTATTAAATGTGGACTGGTTTTTATTAAGAAAAATGATACATTGCCAACCTAGTGTACAACTAGGTTGACAAAACAAGTGAAAATATACAAAAAATAAAAAATAAAAATAAAAAAATACACAAGTGGATGTTTCCACTTGTATTGTCAACCTAGTTGTACACTAGGTTGACAATGTAGCATTTTCCTGTTATTAATTGCTCTATCAGCAATTATATACATATATATATATATAGACATCAGATATTTATTCATTCCTTCTTATGGTAATGGTCCCAACTTCATGTTGGAATTAATAAATAAAATTTTTAAAATCACCTTTTACGACATTATATTATGACATGACTTATGGCACCATAGAAAATCTGCCCTTCCTATCAAACATAAGGGCATAAATGTAATTGCAATCAGTTGAATCCGTTTAGCAATATTTACTTATTATTGATTGAAGCTAATTTTTCATTCATATCTTGGGACTTCCAACTACCTTTAAATTTATGGAGCACTGCAATGAAAATAAAATTATTCTATTAAATATAACGACTAACAAAAAACAAAGTATTAATTTAGTGCTTTTGGTGTTTTACAGCATAAATGAAGCCAACAAGAAAACACCAAAAACCAAAACACAAAGTCATTATTATTATTTTATTATCATATATGTACAGGTTTTGATTTATGAAGAGCAGTAAATTTAAATAGTGAGCAAAGAAATAGTGAGTGAGTGGTAAAGAAAAAGAGTAAATATTAAATGTGGCTTGGTGCCGTTTAAGAAGAGGGCCCCACCAATATGAAATTGAAAAAGCCCCTCTCAAACTCAAAAAATATTTCTGTTGGATTTTGAAATTTATTGAGAGGGATGAAAAGTGGGTGTGAATGAGGCCGTTTGACTACATTACTCTCCCCACAGAGCAGCAACAGCACACACCCCCACAAACACATGCGTTTGCTCATTACATACATTTTAACACTCTCTCTGTTTCTACCTTTCTTTGTATTTTGGCCTCACTTTCTCTATCCAACCCCTTCCTTCCTCTTCTTCTTATTCTCTCTCTCTCTCTCTCTCTCTCTCTCTCTCTCTATTCACAAAATAGAAGAGAAAAAAGAAAAATGAGTGCTTCCAAGTTTATAAAATGTGTGACTGTTGGAGATGGAGCTGTGGGAAAGACTTGCATGCTCATATGCTACACCAGCAACAAATTTCCAACTGTAATTACTTTCCAAGCTTTATTATATCGGATCCTCATTACTACTTGAAAAGATTGTCTCTTTTTTCTTTAGGGATTTAGGGTTTTTTTTTTTTAATTTCAGGACTACGTATTTCTTGCATATTAATAATAATAATAATATTCCTCTTATGGCAACTGTTTCTGTGTAAACTTTGTCAACAAATTTTAAAGGTCAAGAAGATTACAGCAGATTGAGGCCACTGAGTTACAGAGGAGCTGACATATTTGTATTGGCCTTCTCTTTAATCAGTAGGGCAAGTTACGAAAATGTCCTCAAGAAGGTATAAATTCTCTCTTTCTTGGTCAAAATTTATCCGTTTGAGAAAAACCAAAGTGCATATAAATACATAGTGTTGTTGATTTCTTAAATGCATTCTTTCATTCTTTTCGTTTCACAGTGGATGCCTGAACTTCGACGTTTTGCTCCAAACGTCCCTGTTGTTCTCGTAGGAACTAAGTTAGGTATGACATTATTATTTATTAGCTCATCTCATTACAATTTATTATTTAACATAAAATGGAATTAAAATTAATTACTCAATTTTGTATTGTAGATCTTCGGGATGATCGAGGATATCTGGCCGACCACGTCATTACCACCGCCCAAGTGCTTACTTAATCTTCATNTAATTTAATTCGTCAAAATTTGTAGGGGGAGGAGCTGAGGAAACAAATTGGTGCAGCAGCTTACATAGAATGTAGCTCTAAAACTCAACAGGTCATCATCATCATCATCATCATCATCATCATCATCATCATCATCATCATCATCATCAAAATCATAAATTTAAATTAGGAATCAAAAACTAAAGTGTGTTTTGTTGGCAGAATGTGAAAGCTGTGTTTGATACGGCAATTAAGGTTGTACTGCAACCTTCTCGGAGGAAAGAAATGGCGGCACACAAGAAAAGACGCACTACTGCCTGCTTAATCGTGTGAGTAATATCTATCCATAACATCACTCTTTATCAAATTACCATTAATATGTCAACTGAATTTACAAAGTATAGTTTGATTATGTGAAGAGGAATGGAGAATGACAAACTTCTGATTCTTTAGGGTGCAATTTCAAGTGTGAATATTCAATTTATTGAACTTCTAAATGACAAACCATATTGTTTGTACCTTTCTGTAACAAATGCTCTCTACTGCATTTACAAAGTATGGTTTGATTATGTGAAGGGTGCAATTTCAAGTGTAAATACTAAATATTCAATTTATTTCACTTCTTAATGAGAAATCACAATGTTTGTACCTTTCTGTAACAAATGGTGGTGAGAATTTGGTGTTTGGCAAAATTGCATTTTTAGTCCTGCTGGTTTAATGCCATAGTATTTTTAGTCCAACGATTTCAACTTTTTGTCTTTTGATCCTGTAATTTAGTTTTTTGCTAATTGCAACAAAATTTACAATTACAGGACTTAAATTGCTAATAAAAAAGTTACGGAATTGCAATTTGGGACTGAAATTGCGTCAAATTTTAAAATTATAGGACCAAACTAAGAACGCCACTGGATCAAACCAACATGACTAAAATTGTAATTTTGTCTTGGTGTTATTATATTGTAAACTTAACTTGTGATAATATTTGGTTGCAGCAGGGGCATCACATGTGGTGGTTGCATTGCTTAAGCAACATATTATCAGCAATTTACTCATTCAGTTTTGCAAAGTGTTCACTGTTGGATGAACTTACGGACGGTATCATGACATGATGATTATCCCACCATCTCATCTAATGCATGATCTTTATCTTTATTTTAAAAAGTGTTGCTAGTTATTGTTCATTCTCTGAACCTATCCTCGAGTGATTAGTAACTTTTATCTTCTCTCCAATTCTATTTTCTTACTGTTGTTGTACTTCTTTCTACGATTTATTCTTCTCCTCCATCTTTTTTCCTTTGCCATAATCTATTTTCCTCATATAACAGTTTTTTGCACCATTTTAGTCTATTCCCCGGGTGGGAAGTCTTGAAATTTGATGGAGTTATGTACTCAAATGGTTGCAGTAACATCGGGATTTATGTACATTTTTATCTATTTGAGTCGTAGATTTCGCTTAGTACTTGTTATTTCTTATTAAAAGAAATCAGGTAGTTTAACTATTTCGAATCAGCTAATTTTTAAGAATCTCAATACAACTGGACACTAGCTCTTGAGGGTACGGCTTCACACGGTGACACTTTTAAAAAAGTGACATAATTTTGATTACATCTCTATTTATAATTACTAGCTGATGTATTTAATAAAACATTTAATAAAATTTATTTTCATTTCCCTCCAAAATGAATTACATTTTTTTAATTTAATTACTCACTAATCTGTTTAAATCGTTACACCTTAATATATGTTTTATTATTTATTTTTTGGATTAGTTACTAAATTAATTATAAATTTAATAGCAAAATATTCAAATGTGTAACGGTTAATGTTGGAACTTAAAGTTGATTGGCACATTCAGAGCTGTAACCGCTAGATTTGGTTGTATTGTTGGAAAAAATATGATTGACACATATTTTTTTTAAAAAAAATAAAATACACCAATATTTTTTTTATTTATCTTAATTTTCTTAATATATGCCACAAATATATAAATTATTTTATTCATGTTACTAATTTAAACGTTGCATGGTTAAAATAAAATTTTAATTTCAATTAATTTTGAATGATAAAAATAACTTAAAAAAAAGTAATAATTTTTATATGATAAAAGTACATGTCCAATTAATAAATACAGACAAAAACGTGTTTTATGTCCAATTAATAAATACAAACAAAAACGTGTTTTATATCTGTGTAAATGCACGAGATTAAATACTAGTTTTTTAAAAAGTGTTGTTATAATTTTATCTTTGTAACATTTTTTAAAAAGTGTAACAAACACTTTAATTTTAATTACACTTATTAAAAGGAGTCACCATATTTATGTTGTTAGAACTCTTTTTTGTTGTAATGAAGTGAACGGTTCTAAAGAACACTTATTTTTCTAATATTTTGTCTAATGATATTAGCGTTAGAACCTTCAACGTCTTTGTCACTTATTCAATTGCATTTTTGAGTTCTTAATAAATAATTGTAAATTTAGTGGATATTCTCTTGTTTTGAATTGACCGAAATAAACAAAACTAACAGACTAACTGTCCGTGAAGCCTAAAAAAAATTTGTCCAACCAAGAGAACAAAATGACAACTTGTATCAGTCAATGGAGAAAAAAGAGTATAAATAATCACAAGTCAAGTCAGTCCCATAGCCAAAAAGATGAAATGTTTCATGTAAAATGATATAGCACATTATATGATCTCCAAAGAAATCAAGTGCTATTAGCAAACATATATGTTTGGAGATGGTATGGGCAGCCCGTGAAAATTATGTGCCAACCGAAATTTTTAACCATTAAAAGTCAATAATTGAGCCTCGTTTTATTTCCCACCAGAACGAATCTATTTGCTCAAAAGAAACTGAACTTGACATGTATTATAGGCATGACATGGCTTGAAGATGTTAAACCAGCTTCACTCTGCCACACATGTATAACATTAAAATGTTGGAAATTTAATCTTATGTGAAAACCGCTTTATCTCAGGAGTATTCATATCGAATAATTGAGAATCAAAACCGAATAAAAGCGGAAGCGTACCAGACTTCATGAATTGAAAATCCTTATGTTCTTCTGTTTTCTTGACTGATGATGACTTCGAAACGATCTTGTTGGACTAGTATATTCTTCCAAACGATCGAAACCTTATAGCAGATTGTCTATACTGTATATAGTATGTTCTTTATGTATGTATCTCATAGGTATTACTCAAATGAAGAGAATGGTGCTTTTAAAGGGAGAAAGCGCCTCTTCGGAAATCTGCTCGTCCCTTTTTGTCGTTCGGGGTCATAACTAAATAAATAAGAAATATTGATTTTCAGTTCGGTCCCTCAACAAACAGAAAATCTCATGGTATCTACACTTTGAAATCCATAACAATTTGATACTCTCTTTATTCCAAATTACAAATTAGTAGATCACTTTAATAGAATAATATTATGACAACTATACACATTTAATTTACATATGTTGTCCAATAAATATTTCTAACAATCTCCCACTTGGACTACATATGTAACCGAACAAATGTATATTACTTTATGAGCTCAAATTTTGTTGTCACAAACAAGAGTATCCTTTATCAATCTCGTCCATTAATCGTATGACATAGGACTAAAGAGGCCTTCATCATTTTTAGCATGAATCAACCCATCAATAATCACACATATCAATACAATCAAATGACATAGATAAATCATGGAAGTGTAGCATGAAAATTACATGTAATGTGATCTTACATGCCTATTTTCAACTGGCCACTTTATTCTACAGTGAGATCAATATAAAACCAAAATTACAGAGTATAATACACTGAATACTTTATATCTGATCAGAAATATCCAAACACACATATACAATATGTCTATAGAAAAATTAATATAGACTCTCACTAAAACCAAGTATCTTAAAATTGTGTCACACCCATTCGAACAATATGTTCATGAAAGACCTTGGGTATTAGACCTTTAGTAAGCGGACCCGCAATCAATGAGTCTGTCCTGATATGTTCTATAGAAAATTGTCCACTCTGTACTCTTCATTTATTTATAACTAGGAACTTGATGTCAATATGCTTTGACTTAGTTAAGTTCCTATTGTTATTGAAATATATTACTGCTAAATTGTTGTCACAATACAACTTTAGTGGTCTTTCTACGTTCTCAATAATTTGCAGCCCAGTGACATTTTTGCAACTATATTCCGTTATTGGATGTCTCATAACAAGCTACAAAATCAGCTGTCTTGACATCCACCAAAATCAGAATCAATATACCCGATGATCTCCAAATGATCTGATTTTCTATAAGTGAGCATGTAATTCTTAGTTCTCTGTAAGTATCTTATGACCCGTTTGGCTGCTTACCAATGATCTATACCAGATTTACTTAAATATCTATCTACTATACCAACAATAAAAGATATATATAGTCTTGTAAAGACCCGATCATACATCAAACTCCCACTGAATTTATGATACATACAGTTATCAACAGCTTTCGTCTCAAAACCAAATGAGATTACTACCTGATGAAATTTATGGTACCACTTACGAGATGCCTATTTGAGTCCATAGATGGATTTCTTTAGTTTACAAACCATTTTCTTCAGATAATCGACCTCAAAGCTTTCTGGTTGTACCATATAGATCATTACATCAATCCCACCATTGAGAAACGTCGTCTTTATATCCATCTAATTAAATACAAGATCAAAATGTGCTACTGATGCCATAAGATCACTTTCTTTCAAGTCATTATTGCCTTTATTTTCTTGAAGAAAGCATAATCATCCGAAATAGCATTTCTTTAATCTCAAGTGATTCTCCTTAATGGCATAAGTTATTGAGGTTGTTGAGTTTGTTCATCCTGAATAACCAAACTAGTTTGAGTTGAGAGATTCTTGACATTATTCTGTTGAGGTTCCAAATCGACTTCTCGACTAATTACAGGAATAGAGACCTTCACATTGTCAGAAGCAGTAGTAGAAATCGGAAATGATTCTTCCTCATCCATCTTATGTCCTTAGCCTTATTTCTCCCCCCAAACTCAACATCCTCAAATATACTGCATTTTCTCATCTCATATATAGATCTTTAGCGGGTTCAAAAAATTTAAAACTCTTAAGCTTAAGAATATTGTTGGTATCAGCAGAGATAGAAGTACCAGATATCATAACTTAACAGAGAATAATAATAACTTAATCAACATGCTCACATCAATCATACAAATTTAAATAAGTATAATAACATCTCAAGGCACCTAGCACAACATCAATATCAAGTCTTTGGACAGTAATATTAATTTGTAAGTGGTCGCCTTTGTGTAGTAATTAAATATTGACA